GAAGGATATTCCCCGACGCGGCAATTGACCGACAAATTGACGGTTATTAACGTCGCATAAAGTCAATTAATACCTCACAATTTGTATTACCAGCCCGCCGTGTCGTTTAGTCGTCCATTACGGTTTAATTACATCACACTCGACGTTTACCTCGTGTACCCGATAAAACTTTTTAATTAGTACCTCCCGCGCGCGCGCCTATCCCGAATCAAGGTTATCAATTATCCGTCGTCACCGTTTTATTGCGAGCTGGCGGACGGTTTTTCCCGTGCGAGCACGTCGTATATCCACGATAACCAGCTCCGCACGAAAGAGAGAACGAAGAAGAAGAAGACGATGACGACGACGACGACGATGACGACGACGACGATGACGGCGACCGTGTGCGAGGATCAACCGGCGTCGTGTCGTCACATTATCCCGCGTTATCGATGTACACGAGCTGCTCGCCTCGAAGCTATGCGATCAGAGTGTGGCCACGTGTGCGTGTAACGCGGACGATATTGCGTACACGCATCGTGAATTCCATCCGAGTGGCATGCGTGCGCGTCGCGCGTTCGCGCTCCGAGAATCACACTGCGCACTGCGCCGGAATCTTGCCTCGTTCGACGATGTTTCGCGCACTGACGGTGGAATGCAGTTTTAGCTGCGAAAAAGTCTAGGTGCCTGGAGATAGTGGCATCGCGCCGGCCACAAAACGTTATAAAGCGTTGACTAATGACTACGGTCGCGCCATTTTTTAAATCCAAGTAGCAATCGCGCGCGACCTCGCGGCCCGAGGAGACTTCGCACGATCCAATCGATAGGTCGTGAAGGACTATTATACAAGTTTATAGAATAGATTGCGCACCTTTACGGCTGATGATAAGATTGAAGGACAGAAATATGCTAAGTCAAGTGCACCTTCTGTTACATGTTACTCTGGAGCTAGATATTAATAATCCTTGAAATTTGTCTCACGTGAGATATACTCGGATTCGAATTTTAAGTTATGTCAGAGTCTTCCATTTGAATCAATTTTAAATACAATATTCATGACGTTATATTTGTAACTAGCCGAAACTATCCGACGTGTTAAGCGGATGAAATATGGGACTGGTGTCCAAGTTTCATATAGCTTACACTTTCCGCAGGGTACTAGAGAGTAACTAAGCAAAATTTAGTTTAGATCGGTCGAAGAGTTTAGGAATACGTAAGGAACAGATAGACATTCTATCTTATATATATGTGGATTGCAATTCTACTAAAAAACTCAAAAATTAGATTTCAGTTTAGAGCGAGATGTAAGTTTTTCAACTAAATCACAAATATGATGTCATATACACATTACACGATTCAAATAAAATACTTAAATTTAACTCTAAATTCGGATCTGAGTATCTCACGTGGGACAAGTAACGGCTATTAATATAGACCTAAGAAAGGATGATATAAGAGAAATGGAAGAGAGAGTGGAAAGAAAGAGAGGGCATATTGATTGCATATGGTCGTCTCTTCTTCTTTGTTCTCGTCATCAATTAGACAATTAAACAAGGAAAAGCATTTTACTCTCGATTATCCTCTTTTACTAATGCTGACTTTACTTTTCCCACAGCAAAATGCACAGTCTGCTCTACGTGTCTATGAAATTTATATAATAATCCCTAACAAAAAAGAAAGAAAAAAATGTCTGGAATATATAAATATTATTTAGTCGTATTCAAGTGACGGTCTTTCACACGAACGGCACGCAAATCGTAAAGCCGCTCATGAGACCGAAGGTGTGACGCCTTGAAAGAAAAAAAATGAGGAAAAAAAAGAAAAGAGAACGAGGCGCGACGGACGAGTGCCGAGCACAGAGGCAAGGGCGGGGAAACGGGAACGGGGGGGGGAGTCAACGCGATTCCACCCACGAAAGGATGCATTAAACCTCGACGACGACGCGTATACAAGCGTTCGCGCGAGCTGCTCGTGAAAGCGCGATTTACACTTCTCCAGAGCAAGCCGATCGACAGCTAGCAGCATCTGGGCATCTGAGTGAGAGCGACGAATAGAATGCGATTATCGATGCATCGCGAATACACCCCGGCGCACTGTCGCCCGATAATAAATTCTCGACCTTCTCGGATGAGACGGCGGAAAAGAGATCTCGTCTTCGCGACGATGCTTATAAACGGTACCTCCGGAGCCGGCTGCTCGAAAGCGCGGCTCCTTTCACTCAAGGATGTATATACCGAGAGAGTTGGTGATGGAATGGCGATGGGGGTGGCGGTAGGTGATGGTGGTGGCGGTGCTTCGCGTGAGATTTGCATTAAACTTCGGGAGTGCGCGCCCGTGCATTCTTTTGATGAACTGGCTCGACAAATTTCCTCGCTGAATATTTGATCGGATTTTCCTCCTCGCCACGACTTCGCTCACGGAATTCTCGACATTAAATATTTGTTTAACTATTCACGTCAAGTATCCGCGGTAATTACGCGGCCAATTAAAATTTCGAAAAAGCGCGTTCTACCGAAATTCAAGGCAAGCATGCCGAGATTTTCTTCGTTAACTGGAAATCCAGTTCAAAAGTCTCTCTCTCTTTCTCTCTTTTTACTTCCGGCCATTTACAACCTCGAGAGTTATCAATGCTCCAATATTTGATTCAGCGCAAAGTCGGATCCAAGTTCTGAAATTCACCGGCATACGAACCTTCCTTTTGTAGTTAGTCCGCGCAAGAAAGCTATCGTTCCGAGCATTATCAAGCGATGTACTTTCCTAATTCCGTAGGATAGTTGTGCGTTATGGGCGTTCTACCGGGTACAATCGACGCGCACGATACAAGAATTGAGCCCCCGATTAAACGGACGTTCAGGAAATGAGCGCCATTTCCGATATCGAAAAGGACGTGCGCTCGAGATTTCGGTGGCGTTAGACGCGGCACCAGCGCTGATTGGTCAGGGTCGCATCTAAGGATCTCGCCTTTACTACGAGGCAGCTCGTTTCCGAACGTCTTTTCTCGGTGCTCACCAATAAACGGCCCGGTCGCTGGCCTCAGGGCGCAAAGTCGTTCCGACAAATGGAACCTCTCATAGAGAAAATTGCAATGGCAATCATAAAGCGATACGAGGGGAAAAATCGAGCTTCACTGAGCACTGTCCTCGCGTTGACCTCTTGTAAAATTCGCGCGTCGTGGCCAGACATTTCACTATTTCCGCGATTACCAGCGCGATATTAATCTATATTTACATTCTTATTTAAGATAACTATCTCAATTATGGGTCTAGTCCCTAACTTGGTACATTAATGTATTTAAAAAAATCATATATTATAATAAAAACATAGAAAAGTTTTTCTATGTTCTTATTATAGTTCTAGTTCTTTTTTTATAATTGTATTTTAAAATTACATTCGTAAACATTGTTAATATTTGAGAAAAATCTAAAGAATATCTTAATTGCTATATCTTATTAACTCTTTAGATTTGTGTGACTATGGACATTATAAATGCGAAATCATTTGCTGACTCTCTTGATTGAAACTTATACAAAAATATTTTTTATACATATAAACGTTTCTAATTATTTTTTTTCTCAATTTAGAATTATTTAATTTAATGTCTAATAATGTTGTTTCAAAAATATGATATCTGTTTCAAAAATATGGTATCTATATTGGTATTAATAGTTCCAGTGTTTAATATTCGATCGACAAATTTATACAACGAAATGCAACTTATTCTAACCTTAAATAACCCATAATTAGGACGTTATTAAACGTTTTATATGCTTATAAAAAAAATTTTTTTTAAATAAGAAATATTTATTTGATGAATATTAACGATACACATTTACTTGTACTGATACACATATCTTTTTGCGTTAAGACAAAATTTCTTTTTTCAACAAGAAAATATATATTTTCCTAAAACACCACTATTGTGCTTTTTATGAAAGCAATTTTTTATTTCATTTCAATAAAAGAATCTAGATTTAAATAAATATGTTTGAAGTACCCATCAAAGGAATATTTTTTATTTCTCAAATATTTTTTTTCTCAGTATGAATTCAATCGTGAAAATCTGTTTGTAGGAAACCGACGAGAAGCACTGAAAAATCACAGTTCGCGCGTGTGGGGAAAGTTAGTGAAATTTTCTTCCATCTGTAGGCGGTGCGTCGCCTCTTTTTTAAAAATTGAATTCTTTCAGAAAGAAAGTATTCATAAACTTTCATTTAAGTTCCCGTTGTGTTCTCCGAACAACTTTCGACAGCACTTAATATTATATGGACTTATCCGTCCCCGCGATCTATCGTGATATCGCCGCATATAACGCCAAGGATATAAATCAAAGTTTTCGTATTCGCTCGCCGCTGCAGAGGAAACTTTAAGTTTCGTGCTTAATTTAAGTTTGCGTATTACGCCCAGCATCAAAATATCAATTAATTCTTGTGAAACTCGTAGCCCATCCGCAAACATCGTCTCTCTTATCTGCCCCATCGAGATGTATCATAAATCACGCGTTTTGCACTTTTAAGTGACTTTCGGTACTTGCGTGCAGCGGCGATATATTAAAAAGAAAATTTCATTTATCCGCCTGCAGTCATTCGCTAATCGTTCATCCAGCGAAAGTAACGCGCAACGGAACATAGTCGTTGTAAGTCGTTAGTTTTGGCTCAATCCACAATCTATCTTGACTCCGAATTATTATTCCACGTACACGCCTAAGAGTGAGTAATAACGCGCGTGCTCGGTGATTACGCAAATCGGTTCGCGTAACTCCAAAGTCCGCGCGCGATCATTCGTGTAGTTTTACAGTTCGCGCGCAGAAGATAATCTCTCTCTCTCTCTCTCTTTTGCGCGCGTCGGAAGTTCCAAATATCATCGCTCAAAGTAACTCCTCAGTTTGTATATACCGAGGAGGTTCTGGAGCCACAATCCGGGATTTATTCCCGGGTAATGCAAAAAATTGGTATTCATATCAGAGAATACACTTGGGGGGTAAGCGGCTTTCTGTGTAAGTAAGAATGGGGTAAGGTACTCACGTTAGCGGTGTCGTCGAGTTTCCGCTTCCACGCATCGCTGCGTTCGATTAAAGCGTTCCACTGCTCCGAAAGTTTATTCACTTCGCGGCGAATGCTTCGTGTCAATTCGCGCGCCTGCTCCTCGGCACTTCTGTATCCCCTGGAATCGCCGTCCAATTCTCTGCCTGCTGGAAGAATAGGGGGACAAGGGAGGGAAGGGGGGGAGACAGAAAAACAGAAAAATTAGAGTGTAAACCGTTGAAAACATTTTCCGCGGTGAATTGGCGAAGTCTCGGTTTTCATTTAATCGCAAGTTTTCCATATTCCCGTGTACGGGCGAAGAGAACTTTTATACGGCTTTTGATGTTTGACCGAAAAGCGAGAGGAAACTTGCCCGAATATTATTTCAGCAACCGAATTGCATTATCGCGCTGTACACGGGAGAAATGGATCTAAACTTTTCCAGATTTTGTCGAACTCTGAGAAGACAAGGGCGGCATCCTGAGTCGAAATTTTTATTCTACTTTTGACCCCAATATTCCATTTAACTTCTACTTTGATACTCTGAAGCTTATATCAGTCCCTTTTGATTCTATTTAATCTAATAACTTAGCCGAGAGACTTTTTTTTCAAATCTGGCCTTTTGTGCATTTTCTGCCATTTAGAGACGCTAAGTAGAATTTTAGTTTTTATGTGTGTATTAAGTTAATCCTTCAGAATATACAGATATTAGAAAGTTCAAGGATCAAAATTAAGGCTAAAATTGCGATTTGGGACTCTCAGGGTAATATTTTCAGTTATGTTTCTGGATCTATTGGATCAGTCGTTTGATTATATTTCTACTTAAATTCGACCTTATTGCATTTAATAGAAACAAATTATTCATCAATAAAAAAACTGCTGTTATTGTATACGGTTTTTTGTCAACATTTGCATGCCTTAATTACACACAGAGAAGAGTCAGTCGTATCAACACGAAGTTTAGTTGTAATGAACGAACTAACGTGTTTTGGTTGGAGGAAAAGGAATTTCTGCTTTTATGAACCAAAGTGAAGTCATAAGAACCACAGAAATTCTAGCTTCTTCAATGAAAACACGTCAGTTTGTTCATTAAAATCAAACTTAACGTTAGTACAGGCGAATCCCTTTCGCCGTGCTAGTTTGCCGTTGAAGAAGATAATAAAATATTAATAAAATCGAGCGCGCGCGCGAAACTTGTTGACCGATCCAATTGAGGTCGCCAGAAATCGCGCACACACCAAGGATGGCGTCTTCGCGTGATTCCGCGTAGCGAGCGTGTATTCGCAAGAAAAAAGTATCTCGTGGCGAGTCGGGTCGAGTCATGACGAGAAAAAGTTGCACCTATCTCCTTCCTCAGTCTTGCTGGGACCGACATATAAATCCACTATCGGACGATTAAATGCACCGCAGCAGGATGAATCGCGGCGAAGAGCAGCTGGGCAACGCGAACGTAAATCAACATAACACGCGGCAGATAGGGAGCCAACGACCGGGCGCAGGCATCGGCGTTATCAATGCTAAACATGCGCATAAAAACTGTCCCGCATGATACGATGCGTGATTCATAGGACAATTAATTCCCGGCCGATAGGTTTGGACGTTCCTGTCGGGCTCGCCCTGTTTCTGCGCTCCGTTACGCGCGGCTCCCAGGAAAGGATGCACGGCGTCTCTTTCTCGCTCTCGCGCGCTCTCCGCGACGAAAAATAGAAGGGTTCCTTGCGACTCGGGGGCGCCGGTAATCCGGCGCGCCACCTCGGCATTTTTACGGGTTTCCGGCGGAGATACGCCCGGCAGTAAATCCCTCGATAAAGGCGGCCGATGATATTAAAAGATGGGGAGGGACGATTCGCTTTTCGAACGGGACGTCGTCCGCGACCGCGATTATTTTCCGCGTCACGTTGGCCGATCAGTTGGCCGAGGAAAAACGGCTGACGGTTAACGATCTCGCGGAGAAGCGAGAGCCACAACCGTTCGCCGAGAAACGAGTGCGACTCGTTGTCGATAACCGCACGCGTAATACGTCACATTGTTTGCGCGAGGCGTGCGACAATCAATAGTGGCTACGAATTGAACGAAGATGACGAGCAAAAAGTCATTTCAAAATTGGCGAAGATGACGAGCAGAAAGTCATTTCGCGTCGTAACTTCCTTCTCTCGCAATCGGTATGACACGTCAAACAACGAACTTTCTTCTTTGAGATTCTATATATCCCCGATACTCCCAATAAAATTATTTCCGTCAAATCGCGTACCTACAATGACAGTGTCAGAATTGATTTTGTCATCTTCTGGTTTTTTCGCCGGTTTTTTCGCCATTTCCAGCGCTTCACGCGATAACATTTATCGGAGACGCCTACGAGATCGTTTTTCCGCGCGGATGTCTCAATACTCGCCATCAAGCTGTTACTCACAGGCGGTGGTAAAGCTCGCAGTACCAAAAGAGGAATCACAGAAATGGAGAGACTTTTTATTCCGTGCCTCCGGGGCGGGAGAGATCGCTGCTACTCCCGATAAGAAATGCACGCGATCTAACGCTTTTCTTCCCGCGCTATTGGCTACCGATCTCCTCGTCGCAATCGACAGGTGGAATAAAAAGGAAGTCCGGGTTTCCCGTAGACGCAGTCTTCCGCGATGCAACGCGACGAGGGAAAGGGGAAGAAGGGGGTGGCGAGACCGTCGGGAAGCGACGGCGGAAAACAACGAGACAGATCGAGCGAAAAAGGACGTCTTCGGAAGCAGTTTCGGACGAATTGAATTAGGCAACCGTGCTCTTCATCGCCGAGCCATCTATTCAACAGTTGACGCTCCACTTTCCGGGCACGTACGCCACTAGTTTATCTAACTCCCGTTCGCGCCGACTTCCCAATCCCCTCGCCCCATCCCCCGCGTGTCACGCTAATTCTTTCTTCCTTCGCCGCCGACTGGCGCGTCCAGATTTCCCGAGGAAGCGCGCGCCTGACGCGAAAGTAACGGCGAGATTCCCTTCCCTTAGAGCGCACTGTAAATCCTGCTGGCTGTTATCGAGCGATACGAATAAAAGTGTCTGGGGATCCTCGGATTCGGGAAATGTGGAATTCTCGTCTCTTGCTTCCTGTACCATCATCATTTTGCATCAACGTATTCGTTCTGCGTGAGCTACGTACTCGGCCGGCCGTGAATTGCAACCAAGTGTAATTTTGCGAGGTAAATTGACACGTGATTTGTTTATTGCTTCATGATTTTCACGTTATTATTATTATTATTATTATCAGAACTCCAGCTTTTTCATTGGTCTTTCTTCTAGTTCGATGAAACTTGTGGGATTAACACAGAACCTATAATGTATATTTCCACTCGGGGATTTATGTATACTGCAAAAGTAACAACACTTCAATTTACTTATTCCATTGGAGATTGTTTTTCAGGGATGAGGTTTTAATTGGGGATTCGATTGAAAGATATGTAACAGGACATGCCTGTCCTCCTTGATGGAATTTAATAATAGAGAATTAAGTTACGCCTCCACAGCTCAAGTATATCCACAGCTGCGACTGCTCCGATATCACGAAGAAGCAAGTCGGTTCTCAATCAGCTCTATTTCCGTTCGATCTATCACTCTAGAAAGGACTACTGACGCGCCTGTTCCGGCGAGACGTATAGTCGGCTTCGATTCGAGAACGAGTGCAGGCGAAGTCCGTCAATATGTACACGATCATGAATACAAATCATCGATCAATGCTTCTTTTTATGATAACGAAGGAAGTCAAGTTCCGACATCTCGATAGTGATTTAATTATCATACTAATACTAGATTACTTTGTAAACTAGAAATGTGTAAAGTGAGATTGTACATGAAAAGGACTTGGTAGAAATTTAAATGCAATTCTCGAGCAGTTACTGAGCAGTTATGTTGATTCTTGTTTAGCAACTAATGAGTAGAACTACTTAGTATCGCAATCAAGATGTAACTGCTTCTCTCTTCTGCAATTACTGCGCACGAAAAATACGCGAAACCTGAACTCATTTGCTGAACGAAAACAGGACAAAAACTATTCAATTCATTAATAATCCTGTCTTTTCATGATAACGGGGAAAGCAAAGTTCTATCATCTCGATAACGATTTAATTACTACACTAACACTAGATCATAAAATGGGCAGGTGTGTCTCAGTAGTATTTCGTTGTTTGTGCATGCTTTGTAACTGCTCATAACGCAAGAAGTTTTTGGTCCCTAATATATATTTTTATATTTTTCGTCTTTTACGTGACATTTCTCACAACCATCAAATGAAATATGTTCTTTTATCTATTCCTATGGTTGTACTATCTCATCGGATCACTCTGAACCATCGTGACAGTTTTCATTTGTACAATTACTAATAAGATATAGTATGATTTATTCTCATCACAATGAAAGAAATTCTGTATTATTAATATATATCCCATTTATCTTTTGTCCACTTTCATTTCTAATCTTGGTTGCCATCTCTGTCATAAGGTTTAATATTGTTAAGTGTCTTATTTCCACCAGTTTCTTTTTTCTTGTTATATGTTTATTTCACTTATTAACGCAATTTTAAATTCTTTTCTGACAATATAAACAAATCTATTTTAAATTTATTCATGACAAGTACTATAATACGTGCATAATATTATAAAATTAATATTATCGATACAATGTCTTTCGAAAAAATCGGTCTACATATTGTTGTACACGGCAAACTGTTTCAACTATTGAATAAAACTTCTTCTTGTCCAATTTCTGCGCAGTATTTTCACAATCGAAAGCATTAAGCATTAATGCCAGATGATAACAGGGCGGATATTTATGCAAACTACGTATATTTCTACCAAGGGAATACGCGCAGCAATAAGATCGGCCTTTGACGTTAACAGGAAGCAAAAGACGGACTCCGTCGAGCAAGTTCCGCCGAAATTTCAGCCACTCTTCGATCGTTCGAGCTCAACGGGGCAGGCTAGGGATTTCGCCGGCGAGTCGCGAATGAAGTTCGCCAATAATCTGTCTTGGCGAACTCGACATCGAGATTGTATTATATAATCCAGCCTTACGGCACGGTGTTATTCCGTCAGAAATTTATCGACGCTGCACGGCGCGGTCGGGCCGGTCGCACCGATGCCGCGCACGTTTCGCGAAACGTGACTTCCTACGGAATGAGCGAAACCGCGCG